CAAAACCAAAACCAAAACACTTAAAAAGAAATGAAGACTGGTTGTAACTCAGGGTTGACTGCCGAACTAGCATATGTGAGGCACTGGGTTTGATTCTCAGCACCACATATAAATAAACAAAGATCCATCAACAACTAAAAAAAAATTAAAAAAAAAAGAAAGAAAAGAAATACAATTCATGAAAGGAATGGTAAAACTAAGCAATGAACTGATAAAAGCTGTGAATATGTATCTGTGTATACATACAGCTTCAATTACTTAGGGATCAACCAACCTTTCAGCAACTCTTAGAATAAAGTTATGGGTAAGGCAAAATGAAACAAAGTCAAATATCCCATTCATTTAGATCCATCAGATATGAATGAGCAAAAAAATAATGGCTACATTTTTTTTTCTTAAATCATGTCCAATCTGAATTATTTTAGGACAATTATCTCCAACTAACACAGGTAAGTAAGGCATGGCTACACCATGTTTACTGAGAACAAAGAAAGCCCTGATTTTGGATTCTGGTTCAATAAAATATGTTTTAAGGTATATACCTATAATTAGAAGGTATGAACTTTTTCATGTCTTTCTTCAAATTTTATTAGTATTAAGCATCATTATTTGTAACTACCTTCATTATTTCTCCTTATTCTTGTCGCATTCTTTAACATCTTGTTTTGTTAGTAYCAAATTATCCTCTAAAGTTTTCATCCATTGGTTTAAAATAYCATATTTTTTATCTCTATTTTAATGGTGACTTATGAATTTATGTTGTTTTATTTCAATGACAAATTATTTTAGTCCTAGAAATCTTTTATTTTTCAACCAAATTAGGGCATAATTTTATTTACTTATTAAACTTATTTAGAATATCCATCTTCTCATGCTTTTTTGTTTTCTTATTGGATACTGCAGCACAACATCATTTACTAATTCATTAAAAAAACTAAAAAAATTCTGAGACTCAAAAATGCCAAAAATCACAATGTAATTATATGAACTAATAGATTAGGTAAGCTAAAAAAAAAGAATGTGAGCTAAGTGTARTAGGTCTAAAATTTTAGCTCTAGTCATCAGGTGGCTAGGACAGGAGGATCCCAAGAGTTCAAGGCCAGTCTCAGGAACTTAGCAAGACCTGGTCTCAAAAAAGGCAGGGGAACAGAGGTGGCTGGGGATATAGCTCAGTATAAATCATCCAATCTCCTCTATGGGTAAGGGAGCAKCGGGGTGCATGAGAACATGAAAGAGTAGTAATGAGGTAGTGATAACCATCTGTTGGTTCAGTGTTTTAGGAAAGAGTTACCATCTATGCAGTTATTTTCTGCAAAGCAACAGAATAAGTTTCTACTTTCTACTTGGGAAGCAAATAAACCCAAATATCATCTTCCTTTCAAGAAAGATAAAGCTCAYTAATCTATGTGCATCACTAACAACTAATAACCACTAAGGTGCAACAAATACATGTTTACTATTAATGTACAAAATGGCATTCAGAATTTTAAAGTGATACAAACTATTAATAAAAAATTACACAACTGTTTTATTAATTAGTGTAGTAATAAATATGAAATAAAATACAAATTCAAATCAGCTGTTATCTAAAAACTGCAATCAATTTAAGATGGAAATAAGTTTAAGAAGGAATATTGACTGTGTAACATTACCTGTGGTAAGGAGTGCTTGGTTCATCTATTTTCATTAAACCATAGTCTTTGTCTGCTGGATGATATGTTGCCAAGATGTTCATTTCATCCCACTTCTGGGATTTTTTACTAAAACAAAGACAAAAAGAACGCTCAGTATCCATATATTATAAACAAAGTATTCAGAATATATATAAGGCATTCAAAATACTATCACATGCTTAGTCTTTATCTGGCTTGTAGAATTAGAAATAATAAAAATCCAGRATTGATGAATCACATTAGTTACATATTTTTGATTTACTAGATATCAATAACTAATTTAAAAAAACACAACAAATATTTTCTTGGCATAATTTCTTTGGGGATATCTATTACAAATGAGAACATAAAACTACAGAGAAAACCTCATCAAATTCTAAATCAAAATCTATACTAAGTTAAAATTGAGAATAAAATTATAGCTTAATCTGCCTTTAATCTAGAAAATTAGGATTTACTTACGGGAAACAAATGCTTTAGGAATAACTGATAATATCCATTCAATAAAGTGTTTATGCAACTACTAAAGTGCTTAATAATTAAATGCCTTAATTATAAATTCTTATCCACCCATTAAAAAGGTCCTCAAAAGTCTAGTCAACATTATTTTTTTTTAYATTATACAGTTTGTGAATTTTGTTATATAATTGAAAATAAAACTAATTTAAAAGAAAATCAATGTAAAATTTTAAACACTGAGTCAAATCACCATTTCTGCATTTGGTCCAAATTGAATAGATTTTACTTTACATATTTTTGATTTCCCAAATCTTGAAGAATGATGTACTTAATACCATATTGCCTTCTTCATGTTCTCAAATGGGTTTCCCAAGTCATTTCAACAATTACACATCCACTTCTAGCAGGTAAGTGTGACTTTTTGTTTTCTTGCTTTCTACCCCAAGACTCAGTGTCCACATTTCAGACTAAGAATATTTTTTTATTGCAGTAAAAATATACATAATGTACAGTTCACCATTTCAACCATTTTAAATGCAATCCTGTGGCATGAAGCATATTCACACTGTTGCACAATCATCAGCACCATCCTCCTCCAAAAAATTTTTCATCTTCCCCAACTGTAACTCTACAGTTGAATACTAACTCCCCATATTTCCCTTTTGCCCAGYTCCTGGCAACCACCATCTTACTTTCTGTTGTTACGAATTTGACTACTCTAGGTATCTCACTTCACTGAAATCATACAGAATTTGTCTTTTTGTAAAGGCACTTAACATAATGTCTAAAAGGTTCATCTATGTTCTAGCTTGTTAGAATCTTTTTTAAAGCTGAATAACATTCCAGTGCAGCCAAACTAAGCACTTTTGATTATGCTTCAAGTCTTAATTACCCTTCATTTTCTCAATAGGCAAAAGTTGGCCCAGATATTCCACAGAAGATCCAAACTACAACTCCCGTTTTTCTCCAAAAATTAATGTCAGAAATTGCCTATTTTTTCACTTTGAAATGGTCAAAACCTTCAAAGCTTGTAAGAAAAATTTAAGACACATGAGTTGTCATTTTTAAGCAGAGAAATAACATTTTAAATGCTGTGATATTCATTCAGCATAGAACTCACAGGGATATCCACTCCATTCACCTGAATTTTCAACTAATCAATTTAAGTGTCACAAATACCCAAAGAGAGTCACTTGACTGAACTAGACTGAGTAAAAAGGATCTTGCTTTAATAACACTGATTTCCACAGATGCCTAGGATTCTATCCCAGTAATAACTGGTATTGTGGCAGAAAACAAAACAAACTCAACTAGGAGACAGACATTTAAGGTTAAATCCTTCACTAGTCCTGTGACTATAGACAAGTTCAGTAAACATTCTCTCTTGRGTTATGTTTACATAGACATTATAATAAGAGGGGAGTTTAGTTTCTTATGACTTAGAATTGTTGAGAGAATCAAYTGAAATGATGTCTATAAAATCAAATTATAAAAGTACCATGCAAAAATAAGGAGCTTTTATGATTTTAAAATGAAATCTTGGGTTAAGAATCCTGAACAAAGCCAGGTGAGATGGAACACACCTCTGATCTTGGTGACTCAGGAGACTGAGACACAGGTATCCAAGGTTCAACGCAAGCCTCAGCAACTGAGGGAGGAGAATGTCTAAATAAAAAGTAAAAAGGGCTGGGGATGTAGTTCAGTGGTGGAGCATCCCTGGGTCCAATCCCCAGGAGAGCAAAAAAAAATCCTGAAACAAGGTCTTCCTTAGCACAGTAGAAGATGGGTTCAGATATGGCATCCTGAAAAGAAGTTTCAACTGCACTTGAAATGATTTAGACTTAAGGCCTGCCACAGAATGAGCACTTTTAAAAAGCAATCTGCTTTCCATTTCCAATTAAATCTAGTTTTGGAAATTTAATTTTGGTAAATATTTCTATCACCTACAAATTTTTGACTTAGAAAGCCAGTTATCAGGTTTGCAATATCCTAAGATTTAAGATAAGAGAAATAAAATAGTCAAGGGTATTCTGATTCACAGGATAATGAAAAAAAATCTTAAAAAAAAAATTGGGGTATTGGGAATCAAACCCAGGGCTTCATAAGGCTAGAGAAGCACTCTACTACTTTTTGAGAGAGGTCTTGCTAAATTGCCTAGGCTGGTCTCACACTTATGATCCTCATACCCCACCCACCTGAGTTGCTGGAATTTGCCACGACCCCCAGCCKGCAAAGGAAGACGCGACACAGGATTCTTCCTTCAGCAGTTTATTTAGGCCTTTATTTTGACATGTCTTCTAGTTTCTACTACTTCTACTATTACTCCTACTACTACTACTATTACTACTCCTACTACCTCACCCGAGCGCCCCAGCCTTGATAAAGCACATCAAGCCCCAATGCACAACTGCCAMGTGGACTTTTCTCATAGGGTGCCAAGTCACAGCGCRTCAACTCATTCTGATAAGRAGTTGTTTGTCACAGACTACAGCGGAAACCAGCGCCATCTTGTAATGGCGGCCACAGTACACAGAAACGGCTCACCACAGGAATTACAGGCCTGTGCCACTGCACCTGGCCAAGTACAAGTTTAAGAGTAGATTTTGTGAAAAAAAAAAAACAATCCAATTAATAAGGAAAGCTCATGTTGTAACTAAATGTTCCCTCCTAATAAATATTTCCTACTAAAGATGTGAAGGAAAACTAGGATATCTCCATTTACATTATGGGCAAACAGGCAAAACTACAGTGCAGGGATGTGTATTTAGATAATTATCAGAACTAAGTCAGAATGATTATTTCTATTCAGGGAAAGGAGAAGACTGAAATGGCAGGGACATTTCTGAGTTAATAGAAACATTTCATTTCTTGATCARAATGGTAGCTACAAAGGTGATCGTAGTTGGACACAATACCTTTATTTTATTTATTTATTTTTTATGTGGTGCTGAGGATTGAACCCAGKGCCTCGAATACTTTAGGTGAGAACTCTACCACAACCCCATTTTCTTAAGCTTTAACTTTACATTTAATATGCTTTTCTGGATGCATATTACAAGAATACATTTTAAAAATAAACTTAGATGACCGTGTTGGGTGCTTCCTAATCTCAACATAAAACAAGTTATTCCTAAATGGTAAATGAATTAAAAAACGACAATTTATCATCATTATTTAAGATACAAAAAGAATGAAGATGGACCATTAGTGAGGGGAAGAGACATTATTAACACCATATAAATCTGTTTTGCAAGATAATGACAGGAGAAAAAGAACTACAGGACACARTAGAAATTGTCTTTTCTTAAAATTAAGACTAAAATTTAATAAGTACAATCCATGCACCCTAAGCCATTAAYAGTTTCCTTTTTTACTTTTTCTTCAGTACTGGGGTTTGAATCCAAGGGTGCTCCATCACTGTGCTACACACTCAGCCCTTTTTATTGCTTTTTGAGAGAGAGTCCTCCCATGCTGCCCAGGCTGGTCTTAAACTCCTGATCCCCTGCTGCAGCTGGGATTATAAGTATCTGCCAACATACCTGGCTAGTTTTTAACCTTCTTAATGATTGAATAATAATAAAACACTTAAAAAAACCTAGGTAAATAACATAATAAAACATTTTTATTATATATAACATAATAAAATACCAAATTTAGATATTTAAATTGAATCCAAGATTTTCCTATTTAAAACAAGGCAAAAATGGGCATATCTACATGTATTCTATTCACTGATGATTTTAGGACAATTTGCTAGGTTAGTGTTTCTGGGTTAAAATTTATCAAGGGCTTTGTGGTATAGCTCTATACTGCTACACAGCCTTTTTTTTTTTTTTTTTTTTTTTTTTTGCGGGGGGTGGTGGTGGTGGTACTGGGGATCCAAACCTGGGCCCTGGGAGCACTCAATCACTGAGCTACCAGCAGATTCTTGTTATGTACCAGACTGGAGACTCAAGTGATGCTCCTGCCACAGACTCCCAAGTAGCTGGGACTCAAGACATGTATCACTGTACCCAACTTTCTATACAGCTTTTAACAGAGAAGACTATTTGTGAAGTCCCTAATAATCACTAAAACATTGCTAGGGCTGAGCATCTGTGGGTTTGTTTTTACACTTCAGCAAGTATAAAATAGTATTTAAAAGCTGTTTTGTATTTCTTTGCTCATACTCAATAAATAGTATGACAAATGCTTATTTTGCTTTTCTTATGTGAATTGTTTATATCTTTTGACTCTCTATTGGTAATTTTCTCCTGTAAATTTGAGTGAATTCTGTAGATTCACATAAATAACCACATTATATATATAACCCAAATTTTCCCCAGCCTGTCATTTATTACTTTCCACTGTAAATGAAAATTAAATTTTTATATATTCAAAGTAACATTCAACCTGTGCATTTCCTTAGCATAAGAGAAAAAGAAATCCTTAGAATTGTTCTTATCCAAAAAAGATAATCATCTTACAAAAACAAGCATTTTAAATAAGGGTCTAAAACAAAAAGTTCTAGCCAGGCACGATGGTGGTGTATGCCTATAATCCCACTGGGGAGGCTGAGGCAGGAAGATCTCAATTCAAGGCCAGCCTAGCAATTTAGTGAGGCCCTAGGCAACATAGGGAGACCCTGTCTCAAAATAAAACATAAAAAAAAAAAAGCCTGGGGATGTGGTTGGCATTCCCTGGGTTCAATTCCCAGATCCAACAACAACAACAACAACAACAACAACAAAACACAAAACAAACAAAAGGCTCAAAAAATGCTAGGAATTTTTTAGGTGGAAAATTAGTGAAAAAAAGAAACCACGGGGTATGGAAATTAGCACCCCTAAAGTTTTGGTAGAAACTGTGGAGAAACAAAACTCAAGGAGCAAACCTGAGTTTAATCCCAATACCATAATGAAATGTATGACCTCTTTGGATATCTCTGYAGACAAAAATAGGGGAACCACCACTTATATGGCAGCTCTGCGGTGATGGTGAAAGTACCTGCTGGTTTCAGTTTCCTCCCTCCCCCTTGGGTAACTGGTTTTCCTACAGCCTAAATCTGGTCCTGAAAAAGTCACCATTTTTTATTTTGTTAGCTAATGAGATGCCATCTCAGAGAACTACTTGTACTTTTTGTCACTTAATAGTTCTATCATTGAAATGGAATGGCGGATTTGACTTCAAGGTGTTAAACCTCTAATTGCACATTTCAATAAATGTTTTTCTTTTAATAAAGATTCAACATAGGTTGACAAAGCACAAGACTTTGAAGCTTGATACCACTATTGAACAATTAAAGTAAGACATACAACAWTAAAAACTATCACGAGAGAGCAAAAAGTAACTTTTGGAAAACAAACTTTGTTTTACTCAACAAAGCTTTGGATATAATATTCCATGTCCCTTTAATAGGCAGAAAGACGAAGTTGAAGCATGCTTATATCTTACATTATATCAAAGAAAATCCAAGCATAAATTTTTCAAGCTGAATTTACCTATATTATCTAAGACTACTGTAGAAGTCAGACTGAACAGAGTAGCAAATTCCAAAAGAGATAAYGTAAAAACAACCTGAAATGTGGGGAAAATTAGAGTTCTAAATTTCTATTATTCTTAACTAACAGAGTAATAKAGTAACAGTTTAGGGTTAAACACTTTAAATTTATTAACTCATTTAATACTTAAAAGGGTATAGATAAAAATAGCTCACTGAAAATCAGTGGTAATAAAATCTGTTAATAAGTGGCAGACAAGATCTGAACCCAGGCAATCTGGTTCTTGATTAAGCACTAAACTATAATACTTTTCACATGACAGGCATTAGTAACATTTAACATCATATTTTCATAACTCAAAATGAACATTTTCACAATTTAGTTTCTGAAAAATAATACATCTTAAAATGGATAGCATCTTATAATCATAACTGGCAATAATTTTTCTTTCTTGATGGTATATCTTAGAATCAATGGTATCTTATTTTCAACAAAATACTCACACATACTAAGTCTGTCAGGTTAGACCTTCACAAGTTGTGTACTACATTTGAGATATCTTGATATCAAAGAATAGGAATTCCACAATCATAGGGCAGTGGTGTTCGAACTAGTTGAAGTACAACTGTGCTATGGTGTACTGAGATTTATCTTTGCCTAATTATGTGGATTTATGGATCCTGTTTGGTTTTAATTAACCCTCAAAAAAATGGTACCAGATAAATGGAACCTGAAGAAACTACTCACTGAAACTAAAAAGAACCACTGAAAATATAAAGAGAACTATAAGAAAACAACAGCACTGAGTCAACTAAAAAGCCCACTACTGATGGCTTGATTAGTTCTAAYTAGAACTGTATCAAAAAATAAAAAATGCTTAAGTCTATTTTGAGAYATAAACCTCAAATTTATAGACCTCTTTATGTGTATATTGAACCTTGAAAGTTATGTGTTGTTATTATACATATGTGTATATGAATTATGAACATATATATTTGAAGTGTTTTAATTTTTTCCCTTTAAAAAATATCTTGGTAATAAATCTCTTTATAATAGAGGACAGAGATGAAATAATTGCATTTTACACAGTAAAGGCACCAACAGAAGGTAGGGTTCCTCCTCATTATTTGTGCATTCTCTATGTGGGGATTCACTTACTTGCTCAAATTTATTTGCAATCCCAAAACTAGTATTGGAGGTGCCTTAGTGGTTGCTCACAAACACAAGCAGACTAAAAAATTTTGGGGTTGTTCACTGTACATATTCCCAGTTGAAGCCAAAGGCAATGCCTGGACGACTTCTTTCAGCTTTTGAACTTTTTCATGGTCTATTTAGTACCATGGGGTTTGTGTTTTTGTTGTTTTGCAGTACTGGGAACTAAAACCAGGGGCGCTCTACATTTTTAGCCCTTTTTATTTTGAATTGGGGTTGTGCTAAGTGGACCTGGCCTCAGCCTCTYAAGTTGCTGGAATTACACAAGTGTGTACCAACACACCCAGCTAGCACCATGTTTTTGTATTTTTATTGGTGAATGGTTACCAAGAACAAAGTTCTGGCTAGTGTTCCTAAGAACAAAGCTGTCACGTGACTTGGTAGACAAACTTTTTTCAGGTAAGAGTACTATTGGCCATRAATTTAAGGCTAATGAATCAATAAGTTAAATAAGATGTCCTTAACTAGAAACACACAGAAAACAAGGTTATATATTGATYAGTTGATGAAAATGTGACTAGAGGCTTGTAGAAACCAAATCCYGCATTTCCCCTGGCAGCAAGGGTTTGGTATTTACTAATTTAGCACCTATGAGGACTTTACAGAACATAATTATTGCAAGTAATGATAATCAACTTAGATTCTTGCCTTATACTCTTTGATCATTTTCACATAGATCATTGCATTATCTTTATGAGCGTCTTAATTTTTAAATGCATTGTAAATTGCAAGAGCTATTTATTTTCAGTTCTTTTTATACAAGATGGATGGAATGTTAGAATCCTATGTGAAGGAACATAAACACTATAGAAAGTTCAAATGTGTTCAACTTTATTTTTATTGTTTCTGTTCAAAGCAGCACTCATAAAGTTACTAATATTGCTTGCAATGAGCTGTAACATAAATAATAATGTATACTGTATTACTAATATAATTAGTTTCTGTGCTTTACAGTCATATAACACTGATCATGAAAGAGCTCATTTCCTTTGCCACCTGAAACTAAACATTATGAACCTCAATGAATTAGGGCTTCGTAGGTCCCTTTGAAAACAAGGATATAACCCTCCACTTGTCAAGTCAGTCCCTTGCAAAAATCCCTTTTAAGTGAGTCTGCCTCGCCGAAAGTGACTACAGAAGAAGCGATTGTATCTTGTTGAGTCAGTGTAGTATAGTAAAAACCTGGATCTAAATGCCAGTCAATTACAGAGGCTAACCCTAGAGTGGGGGTCATGGGTTAGAGCAGATCAAACTTGAGATAGAGAAGGAAATAAAAGTTAAGAATAAGATACATGATAGCTGGACAATATGAAGCTCACTTGAATAACAGCTAAATAACATAAAAGCCAWTGAGAATCATATTCCTGCTGCTGAATACTCTTCTTAAGGCTGCATTGGGGGTGTTGTGTAGTTACTTTATTTATTTTTTAATTATCTTGGTCTTCCTGCTCTAGTTATGTTCTATGGTCTAATGAGATTCTGTTCTTAATCTCATGATCTCTCTAACCATGACACCCTCAATCTCTCATTTAAAGCAGTTTCTCCAAATAAAGGCTGGAAAACTGTCTGAGGGAAATAAAATTCAAGTGTCCAAAGGAGTGTGCATGTAAAGGGGAATTAATGTCCCTTCTGATCTTAAAAGGCCACCATTTTAAATTACACTGTTAGTACTTTCTTCAAGGTAACACAAATCCCCATAAATATATGCCTCCATAAAATAATAGTTCCTTTTATGGTCCTAAATTAGATCATTCCTACAGGAATGCCATAGTTTTAATATTCTAAGATTTCATAAACATCCTTATTTTAGGCTTTATGAGTAACATTTCAATAACTTTCTTAGGCCTTATTTCCAGAATGCAGAGTCCTTATAGTTCCAATATCCTATAACATCCATGATCTCTTACACTTCTAACCCAGGAGTATATTTTATACTATAGGTACTACACTGCAACATCTTTTTTTTCATTGAGCATTGTACCTTAGATATCTTTCTCTGTACACAAAATGCTTCTCATTCTTTTTTTTTAAAGGCTAGTATAATGTTCCATTATACAAATGCACCATAATTAATATTTCACCAGCTCTTACTAATGGACCTTGGGTTGTTGCCAGTTATTTACATTACACACGCTACTTAGAGCGACTATCTCAACTTGCTCTTCTCTGAACTGCTCTGAACTTGGTACCTCTTAATAGGAACAAAAACTAGAAAGAACCCAAAATCTAGTTGCAGATGCATAAATATTTATCAATAAATAACTTTCCATTAAACACAGATCAAAGACTTGGAAAATTTTGGTTTCTTTTACTGTAGAGATAATGACAAACCAGGAACTCAGTGAGCTTAATGGGCAAACCGTCTTTTCTTTTGAGAAGTTTATCAGCTTGACCCTAGATCCTAAAGGTAAAATACACTTTTCCTATGGAAAAATTTTAGATGCCTCCGAGATCAAGTTAAGAAATAATAAAAGCTTAAGAGGTGAAGCTTGAAATTTGGATTAGATTCTCTAATGCTGCCAATTGTGGAAAGTTCAAAGGTTATGTTTAAAAATACTACATATACACATATACTTTAAAAAATGAAACGAACAATAAATGCCACAGCTCCTGCCTTCTCTGGAATCACCCCACCCGGCGCGGGCCGGAGGAGCAAAGCCGGGSGGCGCCGCATTTGCTCAGCCTCTCCCGCCGGCAGCGCTCGGGTCGGGGTCGGTAAAGGCGGCGGCGTCGGCACTCGCCCGCCCGGGAAGGAGGGGCTTCCCTGACCGTCCCTTCCGGCTCTCACCTCAGCTCCTCTTCAACGCTCCGGTGGGGCTGCTCGGCCGAGGCCACCACCGATGAAGTCGTAGACGTCTTGTTCTTCAGGATCCCCTTGATGGGCCGGTGCGAGGCCGTCGAGGCCGCCATTACCGGTCTTTCCGGGTGTTGGCTCAGGGTCGCTGCTGGCGTGGGGTCCGGGAAGAGAAGGTCGGGCGCTYGCAGAGACTCGCCAGACAGCCGTGAAGCCCGTTTAGGGCTAACGCGGCCGCACCCGCTGTCGCAGAAAAGACTACCAGCGTCGCTGTCAAGACACAACGACCCCAACACCCTAGCCAACGCCGCGCGGCTGGTGACCCTCCGCCGCCGGCACTTCACCTACCGACTGCGGAGAGAGGCCGGCCTACTGCCCCAGCCGGGGAGCGACGCCGACGCCGAAGCCAAGCGGGCCCGCCCTCTCGCGATATCTAGGGAGGGGGCGTGGCAAGAACAAAGCCGGCTTCCTAGCCCCGCCCTCTCTGCTCTCCCGCTCTGCGCACCTCACCCCAGCGAAGCGCTAGGAGGTGAAGAGGACCTTAGAAGAGGTTCCCGGCTTGGTTCTGTAGACTTTCACGTCTCTCAAGCAGCCTCTCTCCTACTACCTTATGAAGCCGTATTGTTATTTCTTTTGTATGTCGGAAAACTGAAACTCAGAAGTGACCTTACTCCCCAAAGACATTAGCTGACTTTCAAAGAAATGTCTCCTTTTCCTATTCAATCCTTAGGAAAGCTTAACTCCCTATTGTAAAATCATTGAATATCAGCGTTGGAATGGTCCTTAAAGACCTAWCATGAAATCATAGGATATTGCCTTTATGAAATCGAAGAATGCCCAATTTGGAATACCCTAATTTATTTTTACCACTGAAGAAGTTAATGGACAGGAAGGGGGAAGTGACAGTACCATCACCGCCTATCCAGCCTGTCCATATCATTTGAAGACACGGAGAATGCCGTGTGATAATGGAGGACGGGGGTGATAAGTCTACAAGCCAAGGAACAAACASCTGGGCGGAGCAGAAGTTGGACGGGGCAGAAATTAGGAGAGAGGCTTTCAACAGGTTCTCCCCAAGAACCTTTAGAGGAAGCCAATCCGACTGCACAGTGATTTTGGACTTCAAACCTCTGGAGGARGCAGTACATTTCTGCTGTTTAAAGCCATCTGGTTGTGGTAGTTTGTTGTGACAGCTCCATCCACCTCTTTCCTCTCCTACCTTCAGTTYCCAACTTGCTTATGATAGGACTTTTTCCCACTACCCTGTCCCCTCAGGCTTCTTCATCATCTTCATGATAGGCCAAAGTAGACTGCTGCCCTGAAATTCCACCTCCAGCAGATCAACCCTTGGGGACTCAGACTAGAAGGCCTGGAAGAATCCTTGTCAAGCAATCMCATGAGTTGGCTCTCCAGCCTTTAACTCGGAAAAACACAGGCAGGGGCCAGGAGCTTGCCACCCTCCAACACAGTTCATTTTTCCTTAGGAAAGCTCAGACTCAGGATGCTTTCCTTAGATTGAGCTGATGCCTGATTCCCAGCAACATCTGTCTGCTGAGGCTGGGGTTAGAGGGTAAGGTTCTACCCCCCTTCCTTAAGCAGCATTTTCAAGTGTCTTATCTCTGGGCTCCAAATCTCATTTCCCCAGGGCCTTGAGGACAATGCTCAGTTCCTAACCTTGGGATTGCACTCTACAGGAACAACTTCAGGGTTTGTGAAAACTATTCTGTTTTGATTTTCTACCTCCAAGCCCCTCTCAGCCCAGAGCAGGGCCACAGTAGGGAAAGAATAAAGATGGAGATAATGGAGGGGAAGTGGACAGGAAGGGGAGAAGGGAAGCAGCTTTGCCAGTCATGGAGCTAAATGAGTTCCCCAGAGATTTTCCCCAGACAGAGGCTTCCACAGCTACCCTTGGCCTTGGCCTCACTTTTGTTCCTAATCAAACATCCTCCACTGCCTCCTCTCTCTTCCCAAGCTAGGACTGTCCAGTAGATCCGGTATCACAGCCTTGGAGACCAGGGACAATAGAGTGTTCACAGTAAAGGAAGCAAGGTGGCCACATCCTTTTCAGCCTGGATTCCAACACCTGTGGTGCCTCCTTTGTCCTGTCAGCAGGTGCCCAGCTCAGCAGTGGAAATCCTGCTTTTAAAGGAAAACACAACTTCTCTCCAGGTTCTGAATTATTGGGCAGATTTGCTTTGTTCCCACTTGGGCCTGGCAGTCATTATGCTGAACCTGCCAGTGGACCCATTATGAAGCAGTAACCTTGCTTGGAGACCCTCTAATGAGAAGGGCTCCCACAGTATGATGTAAGACAATGGAATAAAAGGTGATGGAAAATTCATTGAAGAACCTAAAAAAGTTTTTCTCATCAAAGTTAAACTTTTGTTTTGGGGAAAGAACGATGGCCAGTGTCTCAATAAGGGGTCCTTCTTTCTGCCCAGGAATCCAAGCCAAGCTAAAGCTTAATCTCAGATAATTGCAAATAACAAAGCACAGATACTCAGAAATATATTTACAGGAAATGAAGCTCCCGATAGATCTAGTCCACATGGGTCTGGAACTAGACAAAGACAAGATGGCTTCAGTGGTTTATTTAAGGGGGTACATCAAAGGCAGGGATAAAGTGTCAAGGGTGGAATCTTGCTTCCTGATGTCTTGCAGTCAGCAGGTTGATGGACATCTTGGCAGGTCACACCCATCTCACGTGCTATGTGGGCCATGGCAGAGCAGGAAAGAGATTCACATTGTCCCTTGGCAATTGAACAGAGGAAATGTGCACTGGTCATTCCCAGAYGCCAGATATGTCTGTCCACGAGGCTTCCATGCACAGTGACCCACATGCAACCCACAGATGGCTCGTGACACTTTTGCCTCCTACTATTTCTTCTACTTCTGACTCCACTAAAAGTGAATGCAGATGAAATTGAGGAACATAAAATATTAGTTTGACTGAAATATAGTGAGTGCCAGTCTAGCCTTGCCTTACATTTTTAGAATAGTTGAATCACTTCATCTCTCAGTATGGCCCAGAAAAGATTTCCAAATGTCTGGATACAGAGCACTCTCTCCAGGCCTCTGCTGAGTCTTGCTTTTAGACRAGGTCATCTGGACCAAACAGCTCAAACACTGAATTTGGCTGTGCTTGTGTTACATTTCCTGTGTGTTGAGTGTTTGGCTGCCAAGAGATAGAYTGTGGATGGAATCATCCATTCTGGATTCAGTTTCTGGAAGTAGCTATTGAGCTCAAGGCAAATCATACACAGTATTTTAAAATAAATACATTAAACAGGATTATCTGGCAATTATTTCTGCTTTCTTTTTGAAGACTTCATCTTGGTTGCCCGACCCAATCCAACCTATTTGGAGGAGGAGAGAGATACTTTTAATGTACCCCCTATGTGGCTGAGCCAGTTGGCTCTCTGTCCCTTGGAATAGATTACTAATGCCAGTACCACTGGGCTTCCCACCAGGAATAATTTCAAAGCCAGAAATGGTTTCAGGGTCTGGTTCCACCCAGACTGCCTAAATTATCAACCAGAATTCCCTGAGTGGGGAACAGATGATGGATCGCACCCCCACCCCAACCTTTTAAAAAACTAACCAAAGGTGGTGACTTAATGACCACTGAGTCAGCCTCCATGCTTTGTTTGCCAAAAATAGCACATCATTGTTTTCCTTTCAGGTAAACCATCCCCAGACAGGAAAAGCACAGATTTTGTAGTACATTATAGAAATTCACAGCAGGAGGGGTGAGATTATTTAAACAAAATACAAAAAAGTATTTGAGAGACAGAGCTCAGGAGCACACCAAGGACAAAGGATTAATCATTTTCTGCTTTAAAAAAATAGCTTTGATTCACAACCCTGGGAGGCTCCACTGTTTTTCTTCAAAGGTATCTTAAAAAAGGGTTCCCTAACCTCACCACAAAAGTCTCTTAAGTAGCCAGGATACTTTTCTGAGGAGACTCTCAATRCACATGCCCTGCTTGGTACACAGTAATATAGTTAAAAAGGCTTCCTATTATAAACAATTACTATGAAGGCATCAAAATATATCTAAGATTTTCATGTACTACCAGGCTGTGTGGTATATGTTTAATTCATCCCTACATGTTTTCCAGCCCTTTAAAAAATAGGTAAATGTATGGCTGTGTGCTGTGTGGACCATGGCAGAGCAGGAAAGAGATTCACATTGTCCCTTGGTAATTGACCAAGGAAATGTGCACTGGTCATTCCCAGACGCCAGATATGTCTGTCCCAGCCCTTTAAAAAATAGGTAAATGCAGGGAATCTGAACAAGTAGTCTTTTTAAAAACATATGAGACAAAAACTGGAAAGAGAAAGGAAGGCAGGATAAGTGGTGTGATGAGGCTTGGAATGGTAAATATGAAATGAGAATTATTTCTTTGGCTAAGCTCTGAATTTATCTTATGCCTTCCAGAAGTCATTTTTTTTCATATATGTGTGTGTGTGTGTGTGTGTGTGTGTGTGTGTGTGGCTGTAAATCTACCATAAGTGTTAACTGGTTTGGTTTGTAAACTATTGCAAGAAGTAAGAAAGAAATATATGTTATAATTTCATTGTGTTGATTTGACCAAATTTTATCACATTTTATATTCAGAGTGATATATTATATATAATATATTAATTATATAATATAATATATACTATATTAATATATTATATTATATTCAGTCTCATGATGGGGAACAGAACATATGTGATGTTGGTATAAATTCTTCATAGGAAATCTTTTTATTTTTTAGAGGTACTGGGTATTGAACCTTGGGGCACTCTGCCCCTGAACTACATCCCCAGCTCTTTTTATTTTTTTTATTTTGAGGTGGGGGTCTCACTAATTTGCCCAAGTTGACCTCAAACTTGGAATTCTCCTGCCTCAACCTCCAGAGTTGCTGGGTTTACAGGCATATACCACACAGCCTGGTAATACATGAAAATCTTAGATATATTTTGATGCCTTCATAGTGATTGTTTATAATAGGAAGCCTTTTTTASTATATTACTGAATTTGTACTTACTTATATTTTTTCTAGTTTACATTTTCAAATATGTGATTTTATTATTTTTGATTATTGTAACAGTCTTCTGATTGATCTARAAACCTCTACTTTATTCCTTATCCATTTGTCTTCATACTACTCTCGTATTTTAAAAAGTTATGTGCACCCAGCACATCCCAGACACACAGGAGGCTGAGGCAAGAGGATCACAAGTTTAAGGATCCCCTCAGCAACGCAGTGAGGCCCTAAGCATCTCAGCAAGGCCCTATCTCAAAATAAAAATTTAAAAAGGGCTGGGGATGTAGCTCAGTGGTAATGTGCCTTTGAGTCCAATCCCCAGTACCCCACATCCCCCCAAAATAGGCTATGTAAAAATCCTTAATTTATAA